TGTTGACATTTGGTCAAAGCCTATAATATAAAAATGCATATCTCAGCTGGAATACCGCTGCACAAAGGGGAAAAAAAAAAAAAAAAAAAAAAAAAAAAAAAAAAAAATAATAAAAAACCACAAAAAACAAAAACCAAACCAGGCAGAGGGCAGCACAGAATTCGCTTTCACACTTTTCCCAGCCTGGAGAAAGCCAAAGCAAGCTCTGTATTCTCACTAGCAGAAAAAGATGGACATTTGGCATGGCTTCACCTACCACCAGCGCCATTCCAAGGAAGATTCAATATCACTAAATCACTGGAATCAGACATCTACAACCATAGGTCATTAGCAGCACAGATCCCAGCACACGGGATCTACATTCATGGCCACAAGCTACAGCCCAGTCACTAAAACCATGTAACCATAATACATAACAACCCCTCTGTGAGGAACTGACCTTTTCCCTACTGCAGACCAAGAATTCTAGAACAAAATAAACACAGTATTTTCTTCAGCATTGAAGTTTCACGTTTCTGCCCTTAAGTTTCAGTGCCTTTCAAGAAACAAGCGCTAAGGATTTTTCAATCAAAACAAAACTCAACATTTAACAGTTTTCTCCAAAATCTTAGCTTTACAATAGAATTCATTTACCTGCCACTCAAACTCACTATCTGACCAGTCCCAGTACGTGCTGATAGAGGATGAGACATCGCTGCAGACACTGCCTTCAGGGAACAGATCAAAAGAGGTGAACTCCTGGTCATCCAGCAAGGAGAAGCAGTCATCTTGATCACCAACCGAAACTGATGAGAACAGCTCCTCACTGCACTCTGAGCTGGCTACGCTCGTTCCACAAGAAGTCAAGTTCCACCTGCAAAACAAGCCACAATAACAGAAGTCAGCAAACATTTTGGCACCATTTGTCTTGAAAAAGGATTACTTCTAAATCTCCAAGTCACTCCACTTTACTTGTCAAAACTGATGCATGGATTTCACTGAAAAAAGTTATAATTATGTAAACATAAGTATTCTAATATTTTTGAACAGTTCCACAAGTAAAGGCAAAGGAATTTGACGCTAAAAATGCCCAAGCAAAAATCCATACATAGCTTGTATAGCCACACCTTTATCTTAATATATTAGATCTTCTACCCTAGGGGCATGGTTCCTATAGTACATAAATTGTTTTTTGAATATACTAAACTAAAAATGGTTTCCCATGCACTGGAATTTTTAAAGTTTTATTTTAAAAACCAAAATAAGCAAAACTATGAAGTAAATCAATTTGGCTTCTAAACAGGATAATTCTTGCTAATCCAAACAGGAATCCAAGAACAACTTTTGAATGATAATCCCACAGAAAATCAGTACTTAGGGAAACATGTTGCGGATACATCCAAGGCTCCATTATTTATGATTTTTAATACTGGACTATTCTCTCCACAGAGAATACTGGACATACCTTTGGGAACAGGGCCAGATGGAAAAGTGACGCATGTGAAAGCCCTGCTGAGTTAAAACCTTTTCCTCATTTACATGTAGGAGCTAGTTAATGCTATTACTAAAATAAAGCATTTAAGAACTCAGACTTCAGAGAACAGGTTTTCACTCAATGACAGTAAGTCAGAATTTAAAGCACGCATGAAACCAGTCTCCATATCTGGATTTGTTTTACAAATTGGTGAAAAGTAGGCCAAGACAACTATGATTCAGCACAGCGCTGCGGTACAGTTAAATCAAAACAATTTAAAGAGAAATTCACCACACTAACCCATGCAATCAATTCCTATTCCACCAGTCTATCCACTGTGATCCAGCTAACTGGAAAAACCCTTCCCTATTCCACATGCAAAAGCTGAACAATGCTATTTGCCAGATAGACCAATATTCATCTTTATTATTTATACTGTGCACCTGATTGGATGTATAAGCAACACGTTTTAGTGATATGCTCTCTTCCATGCCTATTCGGCCAACAGTAAATTTATCTGACATTAAAGATATAATTTCAAAGACATTTCTCTTTACAGTCTCAGGAACACCTGCTCTCCCTTTTGGCATCATTCACCCATTTGTTTTTGAGGGCTGGCCAATGAATCAGGATGCAAAATAGCCAGCTGACCACCTGACACACACTTAGACTTCAGGAGTGCAAGTGCAATTTCAACACTATGAAATATCAATGAAGAGAGAGACAGAACAGACCAAGTTTTCACAGAACCATAGAAGAGCTGAAGTTGGAAGGGACCTTTAGAGACCATCTAGTCTAACCCCCCTGCTAAAGCAGGCTTTGGAGCCTTTTAAAACACAGGCTGAGGTACTGAGCTCCGTCACAAACCCCACTGTGGTTACAGGCACAATCAGACCCACTCATAGGGCAGCATTTGCTGTGGCTGCTGGAACGAGCCGGGTGCACAGAAGTGGGAACTACCTTACAATTACCCATGCCTTTGAAAAAGAGAAAGCCTCTGCAAATACCACAGGGAAAGCAGTACATTGTAATGGCTTCACTGGAGCAAGACAGGGCATGTCTTTGCCCGGAGAAGTGAAATGCCTAGTCAGGAAGCCTGTGGTGCCTGGGTTCATATAAAGAACAAGCCAGGATAACCCAAAAGTGAAAGACAATATATAAAGGGAAACCTATGAAACAAGTTAAAGACAGATTTGGCTACTATCATACATTTGTGTTATGGATTCACTAGAAATACTGAACATTTTTTCTGTTTATGCTACATGGGAGCCTCCTAGTAAGAGAGCATGAAGATGTAGTATTTAATCAATACATTTTGTGCCAAAACACTTAAGAAGCTACATTTAAGAGCTAGCCCTTGTAAACAAGGCTTTTAAAACATAATTCCCATATAGTTTACTTTAAAAAAAAAATAAAAAAAAAGGTTTCCTTTTAGTCAACTATACATTGGGAGGTACTAGAGGCACAGCCACCCCAAGAGAATATTCCATAGCTCTGCAGCAGGAACAGAAAGCACCCACTGGCACATATGCAGGACTGAATGTTCATAAATCAGTCTCCAAAAAACCTCCTGGCGTGCACAGATTTAACCCCACACGTGAACGGGGTCGAGACTAGTTTCTCGGCTAGGTAAAAGGGCCCAGTCTCCTTGCACCTGAGCAGCCGGCCCTTCCCCTGGGAGTCTCGCGGGGCTCCGCGCGGGCAAGGCCTGGCCGGGGCCAGGCGGGAAGGCCGCGGAGGAAGGCGGAGGGAAGGGGCCCGGGCGGACCTGTTGGAGTGGAAGCGGCGCAGCGGGTCGGTGCGGTGGCATGACGAGAGCTGGCAGCCGAAATCGCTGACGTCCAGGCAGCCCTCCTCGCTAAGGCTGCCGCCCCCGCGCGCCCCCGGCGCGC